GAGGGAGGCAGGGAGGGAGAGAGGGAGGGAGGGAGGGAGGGAGGGATGCAGGGAAGCAGGGAGAGAAGGAGGGAGGGGATGCTGCACAGCCTTCCCTGGAGCCCAGGGAGGAGAGCTCCCCCTAGCATGCCAGAGTAGCCTTCCCGGCCTGCTGAGCTCCTCAGTGCCCGGCATCGTCATCACCTGCACAGTCTTCCACTTACCTAGACAAAGGTCCAGAAGGCATTCACTGCCATCTCTCCAGGGCTCTGCCCCTTGTTCCAGCTGTGTGATGAGTTTGGGTTTGGAAAATGCAATTCCTAGTCGCAAGAAACAAAACCAAAAAGACCTTAGGCTAGAGGCTTAACTCCAGGGCAATGTAAGAAAATGCCACACACCCAGAAGGGAAGTTCAGAGATGGGAAAGAATATCAGAATGCTGAGAAGGAATGAACGAGGGCAGAGGATTCTGGGTCAAAAGCAGGGTGATCATGCCCTGTGCTTGGATAAATAAAGTTCCTCCCATATTTGAAGGGTGCATCCTAGAAAGAGGACTAGAAATACATTGTCAGTCATTGCAAACACACACACACACACACACACACACACACACACACACACACACACGCGCGCGCGCGCACGCGCGCACGCACAGATGCACACAAAACTTCACTACAAAATATAGACATTCAAAAGAACAGAACACCTTGGCTGCTACATAGATGTTTAAGATGCCCACAGGTAAACTCTGAGACCTAACACAGGATGGCCTTACCCAGAGAGACCAGGTGGCTGTAGTTCTCCAGCATCACTTCCCTGTACAGGATCCTCTGAGCAGGACTCAACAGTTCCCATTCCACCTGGTTGAAGGCCACAGCCACGTCATGGAAAGCCATTAATGTCTATAACAAAAACATATTCCTGCTCATGAAAGAACCAGCCTTGTTAAAAACCAGTTTAAGTCACTACCCAGGACCAAGACGGTAACAATGCGGTGACCTGGTGCAACCACATGAAGTTTACAGGCCCTTCTACCCTGAACTTTGCTTTTGTATGTTGGAGACAACTCCCTCCATGTGGGTGCCAGGCCCGTACATGGAACCCAGATATGCAGGGTTGCCTATTTTACCCTATTGATCTAGGCATATACAAGACCTTCAGAACACCACCGACTTAATTACTGCAGCTATCTAGCAGGGCATGGAATCAAGAAGACCGAATCCTTCCACTTTATCTTATCTTACTGTATTTGAAGGGTTTCTCGCTATGCTGTCCACTCTAGCTCAACTTCCAACTCTCCTACCTCAGTTTCCCTAGTACTGGGATTAGATATGCACACACAGTTAATAAACTTCACTTAAAAAGTTACTTTAGCTATTTTTAAACACCCTGTGCCTTCCTACACAAGTTTTAGAGTAATCTTGTATATACCTACAAACAACAACAAAAATTGTTGCAATTTTACCAGAATTTCTGTTTACCATATATCTTAGTTAGGGCTTCTATTGCTACAATGAAACACCATGCCCCAAAATCAAGAGGTGTATGTAAGAAAGCGTTTATTGGGCTCACACTTCCCCACTGTAGTCCATCACTGAAGGAAGCCAGGACAGGAACTCAAACAGGGCAGGAACCTGGATGGATGCAGAGGCCGTGGAGGGGTGCTGCTTACCGGCCTGCTCCACATTGCCTACCCAGACTATAGAACCCAGGCCCAACAGCTCAGGGGCAGCACCACCCACAATGGGCTAGGCCCTTGCCATCAATCACCAATCAAGAAAACACTCCACTGGCTCTCCCACAGCCCTCCTATGGAGAAACTTTCTCAATCTAGGGTTCCTCCTCACAGACAACTAGGGCTTTCACAAAATGTAATTTCCAGCATTATAATCCTACAAGGTAGCCAGTTGCAGTGGTCCACACCTTTAATCTCAGCACTCAGGAGGCAAAGGCAGGCAGATCTCTGTTAGTTCAAGTCCAACCTGGTCTACAAAGCAAGTTCCAGGACAGCTAGGGCTGTTACACAGAGAAACTCTGTCTCAAGAAACAAAAAAAAAAAAAAAAAAAAAGAAAATACTAGAAAGTTTTTTATTACACTTCAGAATTTCAGTATGTGTTGTGTGTGTGATCTTGACGACACCGAAGTTTGAAGGTATATTCACTGCTGTGAGATACATGATATATGATACAGCTGTTTGTGTGCAATCAGACCTAACTCACTCACTAGCCCTACGGAGTTTTTCTGCTAAGTTCCCAGAGATCTTCTATAGGGACCATCATGTCCCAAGAGAGTAAGAATAGTTTTAGTTCTTAGTTAATGATCTGTATGTTTTCACCTCTTTTTTCTTCCTTTTTTTCTCTCTATCTAGAACTTTTAGTATTGCATTGAGTGAGTGGAGAAAATAAACATTCTATACTTGTCCTCAGGCTTAAGAAAGAAAGAATTCAGCTTTCCACCATTAACATGCAGACATTAGGATCGCTATTATCAAAAATCAAGGAAACAGTCATCAAAGTGTATGGAGGAACTGAAACCTTGCACACTGTTGCCGAGGACATAAAACAATGGCATTTCTATAGAAAACAGTTTGATAGTACAATTACCACGCTATCCAGCAATTCCATCTGTGTGTCTACAGGCCCCCAAAAATCGACAGCACAAACTGAACACTGCAGAACAATGCTCCTAACAACATTGTTCACAGAAGCTGAAAGGTAGAAAACCCCAGCTGTCTATCAACTGATGATGAATGGAGACTGAAGTGTGGTACATACAGACATTAAAAAGGAAATTCTGATGTGTGTTTTCTAGAATGAGCCTTGAAAATATTACGCCACGTGAAATATGCCTCAAACTCACAGAGATCCGCCTGCCTCTGCCTCCTGAGTGCTGGGATTAAAGGCGTGTGTCAGGCCCCCAATAAATCTCTTGAGTGAGGTTTGTGGTAATGACTTTCTTTCCCTGGAGCTGAGCTGAGCAAAGCAGAGATATAACAACTTTTGCCAGAGCAGAGCAGAATTGCTACATTTCTACAGGAAAACTCCCTTAGCAGAGCAGAATTGCTACATTTCTACAGGAAAACTCCCTTAGCAGAACAACTTTTGCCAGAGCAGAGCCGAGCTCTCATTGGAGCAGAGGAGAGGAGAAGTGGAACGCTTTGGCTGGGGAAACTTTCCCTTGCTGGAGCAGAATTGTTACACTCTGGGGAAGCTGGGCAGAGCTGTAACACTTCTCTAGAGCACAGTGGAGCAGAACTGTGACAACCTCACTGAGGAACCCTCCCCTGTTGGAGCAGAGTTATTATACTTGTATTAGAGAAACATTTCCTGGAGCATGGACTGTAATACTTTGCCGGGGAAAGTATTCAGAGCTGTAGGTAATCCTTGGCTTCTGACTGCCAGGACACCTTTCCCTTCAGAGCTATAATACTCTAACTCTAACCATCTTTTTTCTGTGGGAATGTTATTCAACTCATGAGACTCTAACAAAATGCCTGACATTTTTCTTTCTCGTGGTACTAGAAAGCCACTGAAGTGCTGTGGAGGGCTGGGTCTGTTTCTAAGATGGTGTTTCATATCCTCCACAGGGGACAAACACTGTCCTCAGAGGAAGACAAGACAAACAAGCAATGAAGGCCCAAATTAGCTCCCTTTAGGCCCATTATAATCTTACTCCTTTATACCCATGTTCTGCCCATGACTTAATTGCCTCCCAAAGACCCTATCTCGTTTCAACATGTGGATCTTGAGGCAAATATTTAGATTACTGAAGTATTCCACTTTTTTAAGGTATGGCTTCAGATAAGAAAGCTTAGTCACACTGTCACACTGATCTCTCTCTCTCTTTTTTTTTTTTTTTTGGTTTTTTCGAGACAGGGTTTCTCTGTGTAGCTTTGCGCCTTTCCTGGGACTCACTTGGTAGTCCAGGCTGGCCTCGAACTCACAGAGATCCACCTGGCTCTGCCTCCCGAGTGCTGGGATTAAAGGCGTGCGCCACCACCGCCCGGCCACACTGATCTCTTGTGGGAAATGAATTACTTCTCACTTAACTGCTTCCACAGTTCTGTCTTTGGGTTGTAACAGTCTGGATATTAAAATCATGGTATGGATTTTCTTTTTAATTTTTATCTTGTTTGAAGTTTGTTGACCTTCTTAGATGTACAGATCTTCTTTCACAGACTTTCTAGAAATTGTTTCTTTGCCTCTTCCATGTATCTTTTCTTCAGTTTCCACTGTGGACATCGGTATACCTGGTGATGCCCCATGGCTCTGTTTTGTTTTTTTGTTTTGTTTTGTCTTGCTTTCTTTGCTCTTTAGAATGGATACTCAGCTGAACTGTCTCCAGAGTCTTTAGTACATCTACCTAGTAGGCTGCTGAACTCCTCTGATGTAATTTTCACATGAGTTATTATATTTTACTGCTCTAGAAATTCTGTATTCTGTCTTTTTATAATTTTTCTTTACTAGATTCAATATTTGCTAAAACATTGTTGACTTGAATTCTTTTGGCTCTGTGTCTGTGGTTCCCTTAGCTCTGTATGCTGAGTTTTCTCATGGTCACTTAGCAAGCAGACAAATTATGGGTAGGTAGGCTTCTGTGGAATAATCCTGTTGTTCACTCTAAATATGTATTACTCTCATTGGTTAATAAAGAGCTGACTGGCCAATGGCCAGGTAGGATTTTCAGGGCAGAGAGAATGCTGGGAAGAAGGGTGGAGTTGGAGGAGATGCCATGAGACTCAGAGCAAACAGGATGGGAAGTACTCACATGAGGTAAATGAGACTTGGGGCAGCACATAAATTAATAAAAATGGGTTAATTTAAGTTATAAGAGATAGCTAAAAATGAGCCTAAGCTATCAGCCAAGCATTTATAATTAATAAGACGTCTCTGTGTGATTATCTAGAGAGCGGCTGGTGCACAGAGAAACTCTGCCAATAGTAGGCAGCTGAAAATATCACAGCACTCTCTTGCCACTAAGCATCAGCTTTTCCTTCAGCAGTGTCTTCCAGTTTTGACTGGACTATCATTCTACAAAAGTTGGTTCTGACTGCTCATAGTCTGTCAGTTCATTGGTTGCTTGGTGGGAAGACCAGAAACCTGATTTCCCTCCCATGACACTTTCATTACACATTCTTTTTAACTGAATTATTTTATGTATATGAAATATCCACAAGTAAATCCATATAACACAAATCACATTAGTAGTTGTCTTAGTCAGTGTTCTATTGCTGTGAAGAGACCTCATGACCATGGTAACTCTTATAAAGGAAAACATTTAATTGGGGCTGGCTTACAGTTTCAGAGGTTAGTCCATTATCATCATGAAGGAAAACATAGTGGCATGCAGGCAGACATGGTGCTGGAGAGGTAGCTGAGAGTTATCTGGATCAGCAGGTAGCAGGAAGAGAGAGAGAGACACTAGGCCTGGCTTGAGCACTTGAAACCTCAAAACCCACCCCCAGTCACATACTTCCTCCAACAAGCCACACCTACTCAAAAAAAAAAAAAAAAAAAAAACGCCACACACCCTAATGTCTGTCAAGTAGAATTCCCTAATAATCAAACATTCAAATCTATGAGCCTATGGGGGTCACTCCTATTCAAACCATGACAGTAGCTAAAGGAGCTGGGAGAAAAGAGTATAGCATAGAATAACTCCTGAGCATAAAGGATTTCTTTTGGAAGTAATGAAAACATTTTAGCAGTGAAGGCTGTACAATCTGATACACATTAGTTGAAAATATACTAAAATCCACTGAATTGCATATTTCTTATGGGTGAATGTCACAGTATATAAATCATATCCAAACACATTTTTAAAGATATACTTATTTTACTTTCATGTGCATGGGTGTCTTGCATATGTGTATATCTGTGCACCACATACATGCCTGGTGCAAATTCAGAAGAGGAAGTTACTGATGGTTGCAAATCATCATGCCAGGTCTTCTGCAAGACCAGCACATCTCTTAACCACACAGCTATCTCTCTAGCCCTCATTTTTTAAATTTAAAATTTTAACGATGAGTCTTCTAATCAAATGGGGAACTTTGTAGTAATGGAGCCTGAACTATGGTTATTGTTGTTTGTAAAACATATTATACTTTGCAGCAGACTTTAAGAAAAAAACCTTAAGATTTAATGAAAGGCTATTAATTGACTTCTAATTAACTAGTATCCTGTACCTACCAGCCCTTTAATGTTATAATTCAACTTTCAAGCAAAATTCTTCAAGTATCATGTTATGTATCTACAACTCAGATTTTCCTATGCAATTCAGATCTGATACACAATAGAGTAACTGAAAATACAATTGTGGTTTCAAAAACCACTGTTGATCAAGAACACTTCTCTAGGGCCAGGTGTGGTTGCATACACTTTTGGTCCCAGCACTTGGGAGGCCTGGGAGGCAGAGGCAAGTACATCACTGTGAATTTGAAAATAGCCTGGTCTACAAGTGAGTTCCAGGCCAGCAGAGTTGCACAGTGAGAGCCTGTCAAAAAGTCAGGTTGATAAATATTAACTATCCTGAGTTACATCAAGCTGTTAGGTTGTCTACTCTGTACAGAATGATTTGTTGTTAAAGAAGCAGGTGATTCAGACCGTGTGTGTGTGTGTGTGTGTGTGTGTGTGTGTGTGTGTGTGTGTTCACATACTTCATATGTATGGGGGTGCATGTGCATGCATATGGCAGCCAGAGAAAAACCTCAGCTGTCATTTCTCAAGTCCTGTCTACCTTGTTTCTTGAGACAAGCTCTGTCATTGGCCCAAGGCTCATTAAATAAGCTAGGCGGCCTGGGCAGTGAGCCCCAGAGATCCGCCCATCTCTGCCTCCTCGGCACTGGGATTACAAGCATGCACCACCACACTTGATTTTTTTTTTTAACATTTATTTATTTGTGTCTGTGTGTGTGTGTATGTGTGTGTATATGTGTGTGTATGTGTGTGTGTGTCTGTGTGTGTGTGTCTGTGTCTGTGTGTGTATGTGTCTGTGTGTGTGTGTGTATGTGTGTGTCTGTGTGTGTGTGTGTGTGTGTGTGTGTGTGTGAGGGTACATGCATACCACAGCACATGTGGAGAGGTCAGAGGGCAACTTTCAGGACTTGGTTCTCTCCTTCTACCATGTGAATCACAGGGCTCAAACTCAGGGATTGGCAGCAGGTATCTTTACCCACTGAGCCATCTTGCCATCCCCTAACCTTTTGTACGCATGTCTGTCTATTATGTACGTATTTGAGCATGGATGCAGCTGCCCCAGGGAGGCCAGAAGAGTGTGTCCAACTCCCGAGGGCTGGAGTTACAGCTGCCCTGGCACTCAACCTCTGGACCAGGCTGGCCTTGAACTCAGAGACTCACTGGCCTCTGCCTCCTGAGTCCTGGGATTAAAGGCGAACACCACCATACCTAGTTGCAGCGAAGGTTCTCAACTTTCTGACCATCTCCCCAGCATTCCCTGACTCTTAGTTTTTGTTGTTGTTGTTTTAAATATGGGTTCTGAGGAATCAAACGCAGGTCCTCACACTTATAAGACAAGAATTTTATCAGCTGACCCATGACCCCAGGCTTTTAAGCATCATCTTCCAATTTT